ATACACAGTGTAGTTTTATTGTCTGGCTTCTGTCACTTAGCACAATGAATTTAAGTGTCACCCATGTTTTTACATATATCAGTAACTCTTTTCTTTTTTTATTGCTGGGTAGGATTCCATTGTATGGATGTACACAGTATGTTTATTCATTCACCATTTGAGTGACATTTGAGTTGTTTCCAGTTTGGGGCTATTATGAACGTAGCTACTAAAATTTTCATTTCTCTTGGGTAAATACCTATGAGTGGGATTGCTGGGTCGTATGGTAAGTGTATGCTGGTAAACTTTTCCAAAGTGGCTGTGCCATTTTGCGTTCTCATCAATAAAAAGAGTTCTAGTTGCTCTGCATCCTTGCTAGGACTTTGTAGTTTTGTTTTTTTTTTAAGTTTAGCCACTCCAATAGGTGTGTAGTGGCATCTTATTGTGGTGTGAATTTGCATTTCCCTGATAATTATTGACGTTGATCATCTTTTCATGCGCTCATTTGCTATCCACATCTCTCCTTAGGTGAAGTGTCTGGTCAAATCTTTTGCCTGTTTTTAAATTGGGTTATTGGTCTAGTTGATGCCTTTGAATTGTGGTGTTGGTGAAGAATATTGAATATACTGTGGACTGACAGAAGAACGAACAAATCTGTCTTGGAAGAAGTACAGCCAGAATGCTCCAGAAGCGAGGATGGCGAGACTTCATCTCACATACTTTGGACATGTTATCAGGAGGGATCAGTCCCTGGGAGAAGGACATCATGCTTGGTAAGGTAGAGGGTCAGCAAAAAAAGAGGAAGACTCTCAACAAGATGGATTGACACAGTGGCTGCAACAATGGGCTCAAGCATAACAATGATTGTAAGGATTGCGCAGGACTAGGCAGTGTTTCGTTCTGTTGTACATAAGGTCACTATAGAGTAGGAACTGACTGGACGGCACCTAATGACAACAACGAGTTCTTTATTATAGTCTGAAGACAGGTACTTTATCAAATATTTTCTTCCAGGCAGAAGCTTGTCTTTTCCTTTTCTTAAGGGTGACTTTTGAAGAGAAATCTTTAAATATTTTAATATTGATGTGGTCCAATTTATAATTTTTTTACAGTTAGTGCTTTTTATATCTTTTTAAGAAACCTTTGCCTAACCCAAGATTTTTTTCTGTTTTTATAACAATAGCTTAAATTTTATTGTTTACATTTAAATATTTTATTATTAGCATTTGTCTTTTTGCATTTCTTAATAGGTGAAATCTCTGAAACTTACTATTAAGTAGATAGTGGAATAAAAATAATTTTAAGTCTTTAGACTACTTCAAAATTAACAAGCAATAAGATTTTACTCTGCAACTGCAAACTATTTCACAATTTCTCCTATTTTAAGAGAAAGTTTATAGTTTTAGGTTTTACAGTTTGACCTATGAACCGCTTGGAGTTCATGCCTTGTATATGGTGTGAGGTAAGTATCAAGGTACATTTTTTCTTTTCTTTTTTTTGCATATGGATGTCCAATTGTTCCAAATGCACCATTTGTTGCAAAGTCTGTAATTTCTCCATTGAATTACTTTGGGGTCTTTAACAAAAAAAAAAAGAATTGATCATATATGTATAGGCTTATTTCCAGACTGTCTATTTTATTCCATTGATCTACATGTCCATCCGTATGCCAGTACTACACAGTCTTGATTACTGTAGCTTTATAGTTGGAGCCCTGGTGGTGCAATGGTTAAGAGCTTGGCTGCTAAATAAAAGGTTGGCAGTTCAAATCCACCAGCCACTCTTTGGAAACCCTATGGGGCAGTTCTACTCTGTCCTATAGGGTCACTATGAGTTGGAATTGACTCAATGGCAATAGTTAGTCTTGAAATCAAGTGGTGTGAGTCATCCAACTTTGTTCTTCTTTTTGAAAATTATTTTGGCTATCATAGGTCCTTTGCTTTTCCATATAACTTTCAGGACCCCAGCCTGCTAAGAATTTGATTGGGATGATATTGAATTTATAGATCACTTTTGGGATAATTGCCATATTAACAATATTGAGTCATCTGATCCATGAACACAGTGTATCTCTCCATTTAAATACGTCTTAATTTCTCTCATTGATGTTTTATAGTTGTCAGCATAAAAATCCTGCACGTATCTTTTTTGGTTGCTGGTATGTATATGCTTTCTGTCTGCTGAACTGAGATTAACATTTCTCTAAATTTCTTCCTAGTTTTTCATGGTTTATACTTAACATAATGGAATAATTGGTTGAATATTGTCCCTCAAAAATTCATGTCCACCCAGAACTTCAGAATGTGATCTTGTTTGGAAATAGGGTCTTTGCAGATGTAATTAGATGAGGTCATACTGGATTAGGATGGGCTCTAAACTCCAATAACTGGTGTCCTTATAAGGAAACACACAGGCATACAGGGAAGAAGGCCACCTGATGACAGAGGCAGAGACTGGAGTGATGCAGCTATGAGCCAAGGAACACCAGAGGGAGCCTGGTCCTAGTATTACCTTGATTTCATATTTCTAGCCTCCAGAATTTTAACAGAATAAATTTCTGTCATTCTAAGTCACCCCATTTGTCGTAATTTGTTATGATAGCTCTAGGAAACTAATACAGATGGCACTGAATTTATACATAAATTTTGGGATAATCACCATATTAACAATAGAGTCTTCTGATCCATGAACATAGTTTATCTCTCCATTTATCTGTCTTAATTTTTCTCATTAATGTTTTTGTAGTTATCAGTGTACAAATCCTGCACAGTTTGATTTTTTTGGTTGCTTGTGTATTTTCTCCTAGTTTTTTGTGGCTTATACTTAACATAATTGAGATCATACAGTGTATAAAATTTTGGTGTACGTCAGACTCACCTGAGAAGTTAATGGAAATTAGATTCTGGAGCCATATTCCTAGAAATTCTGAGTCTGTGGTTGGGACCAGGATGTCACATTTTCAACAAGCTTCCAAGGTGGTCTAATACATTTTGAAAAAAAAAATCTGTTTTATACAAAATTAAAATAGTTTCATGTGTGGAATTTTGGAAATTAACACTTCTCCTGTATTCACTTTTAAACTTCAAGTTACATTTTTTACAAGTCATTTGCCCAAGGCTACACTGGGCCAAGAGCCCAGGGCTCCTCACTCAGTCATAATTAGTAATTATTAAGTACTATGTGTCATGTGGAAACCCTGGTGGCGTAGTGGTTGAGCTACAGCTGCTAACCAAAAATGATTGGCAGTTCGAATCCACCAGGTGCTCCTTGAAAACTCTATGGGGCAGTTCTACTCTGTCCTATAGGGTTGCTATGAGTTGGAATCAACTCAACAGCAACGGGTTTGGTTTTTGTTTTTTGGTATGTGTCATGTACAGTGCTAGGGATACCAGGAGCAATAAGAAAGAGTCTTTGAGAAGGTAACACACAGGTTAAATAATAATGACTAATAACATGGAAAGTCTTCAATATCTTAAGGAGCGCCATTACCTTTTTAAATTGGTTTGTAGCAGAAAGGGAGGTTTTTTGGCTTGAAACTCAGATGTGTGACCTCTGTGATTACGTGTGGACAAGTTCCTTGATTTGTACAGCAAGCCAGCCAGGAGCCTTTTTAGAGAGAAAACTAACACTAAGAAAGCCATGTAAATTGAAATATGGTTTCTCTGGGTTACTGAGGTGGAAAGTTCAGTTCAAACCACAATCTACTCTCTGATCCATAGATTAATCGCAGGACATAGCCCCCAGTGGAACCAAAATGTTTGAGGCCTATGAAGAGAAAGGAAACTATAAGCAAATATAAAATGAACTAAAAATATTAATGATTACTTTGCTAAGAACTATGTAATGCAGTGGGACCCAAGCAGCCCTGAGTCAGTACCCACCTAGGTAGGTATAACTCTGAATGAAGTTGGGAGTGCAGATTTATCCACACTTAATAAAGGGTTCAAATGGGAGCTTTGGCAATTTGGAGACTCCAGAGAATCAAAGGGGCTTTGTTACCATAAAACCAAAAACCAAACCCATTGCCGTCCAGTCAGTTCCAACTACTAGTGACCCTATTGGACAGAATAGAACTGCCTCAGGGTTTTCAAGGAGTGGCTGGTGGATTGGAACTGCTGACCTTTTGGTTAGCAGCCGAGCTCTTAACCACTACACCACCAGGGCTTCTTACCATAAGGACCCCATAATATCAGTATCTGTCAGCAGAGAGTACAGGGCACAGCATAACAGGAGTGCCCAGCAGATATGGTAGTACCAGAGAAGGGTGGCACCCTCTTCTTAGCTGCCTGGACTTGTCTCTAGGCACAAATAAGACCTACCTTCAGCTCTCTCCTGAGTGTCTGATAGGGTCCAAGGTCCTGCTACTGCAAGGGAGCCAGCCCAACACAGCTCACATACTCAGTACCTCATCTGATCCACTCGACAGTCCTGTGAGGCAAAGATTACCCTCATTTCACAGATGACGAGACTGACTCTTACAGCAATGATCTGTAATAACTGCCACGTGGATTCCTCCAGCTACAAGTCTCAGAGGTGATGTGAGTTTTACCTGTCATTTTTCATTCTGACAAGATTTTTAAGTGTCTCCATTGCCCTTATAAGCTTACTGGACAGTTCAGTTGCTTATCATGCATTGCTTTCTGGTTTTAGTTTTTATTATTTTTTATAACAGACATAATCCATATCCTTTAGGAAAAAAAACGGAGATAAGCAAACAAAGAAAAAAGATCACTTGGTGGGAGCCATGAAACAGTAGAGGAACCAGAAGGGGAAGCAGTGCCCACCTGATGTGGTTAGACCCAGGGGAAGACATGGGAATGGGGCACACTAGCAAAGGAATGGCATGGAGGTACCTAAAACTATCAGGTGATTGGACTCATTTTTGAGTACAGGTGAGACCTATAATTGGCCATTACACAGGAATGACCACTGTCTACTTTCTAGTGTACACACTTTCATAGTTTTCCCTGTGGTATTATGCAAATATACTTTTTGATAAAAATAGGCTGATACTGTATATGTGGTTCTGCAAACTGTTTTTTATTAATATTTTACAAGGTACCATGAACATCTCTTCCATGCACATGGGTGAAAATCCCCCACTGAAACACAGAGCGCTGCAGTGGGGTCAAAGGCTGCTGGTAACAAGAGTGACACCTAAAGCAAAGTATCAGCATAGGTTAAAGCACAGAGCCTGGCAAATGCCTGCCAGGGAAAGCGGGGCTCACAATATTCTCATCGGAGAATCAGAATTGAAAGCCGAAGGCATTAAAGGTATGGGGCATCATGTAAGCCTCTTTGGCCCCTACCTCCGCCCCTGACTCCTCTGACTCCCCGCTGGCCCCTTGGGGGGAATGGATCCTGGACATCTCTTTGCAACCAATGAAAACCACCCATTTTCTGTTTTTTCCTTAGCTCCTCCTGAGCCCTTGACATATCACCACATTCTCTCATCATCTCTTCACTGCTCAGGTGCCTTTCGTGTAAATCCTCCTGATAGTCCCTGGGGGAATCATCCGTCCCCCTGTCGGTTTTTCTTTTCGCTTTCCGGGGCACGTAATCTTCAGCCGGGCGCTTTTCGGCAGCCCGGGGCTCGCTTTCTGGCTTTCGCTCAGACTTCAGCTTGCCCTCACCTTGTGGTTTCCCGTCATCTCCTGGCTTTCCCTGCTTTTCCTTCTTTCCCTCTGGCTGTCGCTCATCACCTGGCTCTCCCTCATCCTCTAGCTTCCCCTGGTTTTCTGGCTTCCCCTCCACCTCCGGCTTTCCTTCCTCTTCTGACTTTCCTTCCTCTTCCGGCTCTACTTCACTTTTTGGTTTTCCCTCTTTTTCCAGCTTTCCTTCATTTTCACTGTAGAGTTTTTCCATGTTGAAATTCTCCTCCTTTTCCTGTCCTGGTAGTGGGGGGTGAAGGGAGATGGGAGGAGACAAGGAGGAGACAAGGGAGACTGATGACTTGGGACTTAGGAGTGAAGCTCAGGTCCGGATAGTACTTGGATCTTGGCCCTCGTCAGGGTTCCTTTAACCTGGCTGAATCTCCAAGTGTGCCTTCTGCCCACCCCTCCCCCCCACTCCTCCCACACACATGAGCCAACCCTTTCCCAGGCAGGCCCTGTCACCATCTCTACTCCCAGCGTGGGAGGGTGCCTGCGTATGTGTTGGAGCGTGGTGTCCCTAAATTCTGCCCAGCCCTTGCCCTCCACCTTCCCCCAAGCCCCGGGTCCACGTCCAGTGTCCCCTCTCACAGACCTGCAGGGCTTCTGGACAGGCTTCTCCTCCTTTTCTTGCCTCGCAGAGTGCTGGGAACAACAGACTCCCAGACCTGCAGACAGGAGACAGGGACAGGGCGCTCAGTGGACACGGGGTCCTTTCCTGAATCCGGGCCTCCTCACCCAGTGATTCCCTCCCCCACCTCCCTGCCCCCCAGCCGCCATATCTTTTCAGGCTTCGGACACCAGACCAGGATGTTTTCCAATTGGGGGTTTTGGTGTCCCCCTTCCCCGAAGACAACCTGCTCCACCCCCACCCCCCTTTTCCCGGAGGTCAATCTTTCCTCCTAGGCGCAGAATGCCGGGTGTAGGGGGGCATTTCCAGAATCTGCCTACGTCTCACTGTCGCACTGCGGGGGCGCTCCCCCCATTCCCAGCTGTAAAAGGGATGGAGGGCGCAGAGGAGCGGGGTCGAGAAGGCAGGTCGGGCGCTGCGGGGTCTTCCCCCACACCTTCCCACGCCTCCTCCGGTCCCCCGAGGTGCTCCTGGTCCCCCCAGGTGCTCCCCATCCCTTCCGCTCCGCCCCAGGTGCACTCCATCCCTTCTCCTCCCGCCCCCCACCAGATGGTCCCCATCCCTTCCCTTCCTGGCCCCCGAGCTGCTCTCCATCCCTCCCGACCCCCTAAAGTGCTCCTCATCCGTTCCCCTCTCCCACCCCTCCACCGCTGCTCCGCAGCCCGCTCCCACCCCCCTACCCCCGCCCGGGTCCGCCGGCGGCGCCCCAACCACGCTGACCTGCGGGACCGGGCAGGCTGGCGCCTCCTCGGTTCGCCAGAGCCCGCTCCCCCCCCACTCCCCGGGTCCGCCAGCGGCGCCCCAACGACACTGACCTGCGTGCGGGACGGGGAGGCCGGTGCCTCCTCGGCTCGCCGCAGCCTGCTCGCCCGCTCGCCCGCCTCC